CGGCCCGTTCTGCTTGGAGAACGACCCCTTCTGCTTGCAGAACGACCTGTGCTCCATGGAAAACGGGCCGTTCTCCAAGCAGAACGGGCCGTTCTGCTGCACTTGTTTTTATTTTATTTTATTTTATTTTATTTTATTTTTTTATGACTTTTTACGTCAGACCTTGGCATGTCCGACGTAAATTTGCGTCGGTTTTCACGCCCCGACGTAAATTTACGTCTCCCGCTTCTACGTCGGAAGTTTTTCTGACGTAAAACCTCTAAAATAACCGACGTAAAATGTGTATTGTGTACTAGTGTCCTCTCTTAAAAGTCCACTGAACTGCATCAACCTGACCCATTTCCTTTCTCCCAGTAAATTAAATTAAATTAATAATATAATAAAATAATTTTCCAGTTATAAAAATAAATAATACTTCTAACTATAATATACTAATATTAATAATATTATTATTAAAAAAAAAAGACGTTACAACTCTTAAATGCTTCTTGTAATAGTAGCATATCTGTATCTATATATTATCACAAAGAGATTGCACCAATAAAAGTACATAAGATGAATTTAAAAGGCAAAGAACATTCCGAGAACCAAACATATATCCAAATCAGCCATAATCCAGTGAAGTAATGTTTGTTTATTTAAGGCTAAATTGTAATTTTTTTATTTATATTTTTGCCAATTTATAATTTTAGTATTTTTTATTTTAAATAGAGATATTTAGTTATTTAATTTTAAAAATATAAAATTTGATTTTTTTTTATCAAATTGATATTCATTAATTATTGAGTTTTAACATTTACTTATACTTAAGTGATTAACATTTAATAATATGACATTTTGAGATAAAATAAACTACAAAAAATTATGTAAATCAACTCATGTATATTAATCATGAATCTCTATCTTACATTTAAAGTTTTAATAAATACAGTTGAATTAATAATTTATTAGTTTAATACTTGATCTATTGAGTTAGTATCCCGATTAGTTTAATGACCAATCCTGTTTTTAAAATATTGATTTAATTATAAGGAGACTGATCTAATGTCTCTGATACTGCAAAAGTTTTCTTAAGCGTAAATTATAAGAAAGAGTATTGAAGAAAAAGTTTTCTCTTGTACTTTAAATTTGTCTTTCTATGACAACCCTTTACAATGGAGACAATGCCAACATGCAACACCTTCACTTTGTGTTCATTCCTTTCATGGCACTAGGTCACATGTTTCTTCTGGTTGACATGGCCATGTTAATGGCACAACACGACGTGAAGGTGACCATTGTCACCACACCCCTCAACGCCCTCCAATTAATTGTCAACATTGATAAAGAGATCCAATACGGCTCACCCATTCATTTTTTTTTGTCAGTGAAAAATTATAGTAAAAAAAATTATTTTATTTTTAAGTTATAAAATACATAATTGTAACAATTAAGATAATTACAATGAATATATCTCTAGTGTAAAATTGTAATTTTACATCGTATGTCTACATTGGTTGTCAC